GTTTGCAAAGGGCGAAGAAAGGGAGCATCATTGCGCTTCTTCAAGCTGCCCTTACCCTTGGGCCTGACATCAACTGTGGAGGTCCTTTCCCGCGGCGCCAATTTCCAAGCATTTTTGGGCTCCAAAAACAGCCCCCAAAAAATACAGTCTGAAAACCTCCAATGGCAGTGGAGGTGGCTGAAGCTTCCCTGCCAGTTTAATTCGTTTTGCTGATCTTCTGTTAGAGCTCTGACATGCTGCGCAGGGGTCTGCCTTCCAACAGCTCTTCCGGCACAGCCGGCGGGAGCGTGAAATGTAGAATAAGAATAAGAATAAGAGTATAACTAATTCTAATAATTCCAATAGCAACAGTAGTAATCCAAGCTGTGTCCTGCCGCCACCTGGGCCCAGCTTTTCAGTTTTTCACTCGCCAACGTTGCTCCGGCTTCCCGCGCCTTCGCCCGACGACCTCCGAGCCGCTCGGCTTCACTCCTTAGACCCTCGTGGCGAATGGGGGCTCACGAACCTAAAGGGACCCAAAAAGACCTTTCATGTGAAAATGTATATAAACATATATATATACATATATGTACTTATATTGTGAAACATTGTATGATATATGTATATGTATATGTATATGTATATGTATATGTATATGTATATGTATATGTATATGTATATGTATATGTATATGTATATGTATATGTATATGTGTATGTATATGTATATGTATATGTATATATCTTCACATATATATATATACATATAGGGTAGGTAGGATGCCATTTGATCTAAGTCCGAAACCCGAGACCAGCGGATGGTGGGAGAGCTGGGAAATCCCATGCGCCTAAACCCCAAAGCGGGCGGAACACTTCCCCTATGCTAGCTGACTGTTTAGAATAACATGAATGCAAGGCTGCAGATTGCTTGAAGCGAACTCTTAAACCATTCCGGTTTAGGGTTTAGGGTCTAGGGTCTAGGGTTTAGGGTTTAGGGTTTAGGGTTTAGGGTTTAGGGTTGAGGGTTTAGGGTTTAGGGTTTAGGGTCAGGGTTTAGGGTTCAGGGTTTAGGGTCAGGGTTTAGGGTTCAGGGTTTAGGGTTTTACAAGAAACCATCCTCCAGAGTCTGGCGAAAGAATGGCGTTTTTTTTTTTTTTTTTTTTTTTTCCATGTCACGGTTTAGGGTTTAAATCGAAGTATTGTATACACATCAACAGATATACACACAATACAAACAGATTTGCGGACTTACGTATAATATGCACCCTTTTTGTTTTAGAGGTAGACCCCATGTCCAAGTCCCCCGACAGCCTCTCGAACCCCAGCCACCCGAACCTCCTGAACCCTACACCCTATACCCCAAAACTCAAAGCCCAAGACGCTAAACCTTAACCCTAAACTCCCCTAAGCCCTAAACTTCCCAAAGCCCCAAACCCAAAACCCTAAACCCTAAACCCTCAACCCTCAATCCTAAACCCTAAACCCTAAACCCTACACCCTAAGCCCTAAGCCCTAAGCCCCCCGGAGCCCTGAAACCCGAGGATGGCCCGCTCCCTCGTTTTGACCGGCGCGGTGCTCCTCTGCAGCGGCCGGGGGGGGCCCAAAGGATTTGTTTTGGGCTTCTTGGCTTTAGGGTTTAGGGTTTGGGGTTTAGGTGAGAAGGACTCCAACCCTCAACCTGAAGCCCTAAACCCTAAACCCTAAACCCCCCCCCTCCCCTGCCCCAAATGGAGTCTGTCTGCGCCGAGAGAGAGGCCCACTTCACAAGCCGCAGGTGGCGAGGCTGCCACCCGCAAGCTTTCAAAGGCCCTTTCGCCCTTTCTGCGCCTGGACGACTACCCTAAACCCTAAACCGTAAACTTCAGACCCCAAACCTAAACCCTAAACCCTAAACCCTAAACCCTAAACCCTAAACCCTAAACCCCAAACCCCAAACCCTAAACCCCAAATTCTAAACCAATTGCCCAACGAACCGGCGAAAGGCGCACTCTTCACGGCCTTTGTCGCTGCGCCCCGCGCCGCCCCGGCCCCCACGGCGCCCCATGCCACTGCCGCCTTGAGCACCTCAGCTGAATCAGGGTTTAGGGTTTAGGGTTTAGGGCTCAGGGTTTAGGGTCTAGGGTCTAGGGTTTGGGCTGCCTCAACGCTCCCTCAACCAAGCCCATCAGAGTTCCCTAAACCCTCAACCCCAAGCTGGCTGGGAAGTGCCCCGAGCAGACTGAGACATGTGGGCATCTCGCCGAGTATGAAGGGATATGAAGGGGTAGAGGGTTGAGGGTTCTTACGCCCACAGCCCTAGACCCTCATATGCCCCAAGCTGATACACTCTCCTTGTCGACCTCAGACTCGCAAAGCAAGGCGCCGCGACGCTGATGGCCCCTGCAGCAGCCCACGCTGAGGCACTTGGCAGTGACCCCAAAACCCTAAACCCTAAACCTTAAAACCCTAAACCCTAAACCCTAAACCCTAAACCCTAAACCCTAAACCCTAACCTTAAAACCCTAAACCCTAAACCCTAACCTTAAAACCCTAAACCCTAAACCCTAAACCTTAAAACCCTAAACCTTAAAACCCTAAACCTTAAAACCCTAAACCCGAAACCCTAAACCCTCATGCAAGCAGGACGGTGCCGTGTGGATCCCCGCCCTTTCCGCCATCGGCGCCGGATTCGCCATCGGCCTTGCCGCCATCGGATCGGGCGTGGGCCAGGCTCCTCTTAGGGTTTAGGGTTAGGGGTTTAGGGTTGAGGGATATGGGGACAATCTTTGATCAATCCCAATACGCGACGGAGGCTGTGTTTTGGGCTCGTGTAGTCCCCTGGCTTACAGCCCCCCTAAACCCAAAACCCTATTCCCCTAAACTCTAAGCCCTAAACCTGAACATCCTAAACCCTAAACCCCAAACCCCAAACCCTAAACCCTGCACCCTAAACCCTAAACCCTAAACCCTAAACCCTAAACCCTAAACCCTAAACCCTAAACCCTAAACTCTAAACCCTAAACCCTAAACCCTAAACCCTAAACCCCAAACCCCAAACCCCAAACCCCAAACCCTAAACCCTAAACATCCCGAGCTGCTCACTTGGCTGCAGGGCATTGCCAGCGGCCGCTGCATTGACGGGATCTCCCGCCAGCCGGAGGCCACCGAGGGCCACTTTTCTTTGGGAGTTCTTGGCAGGGTTTAGGGTTTAGGGTTTAGGGTTTAGGGTTTAGGGTTTAGGGTTTCGGGTGAAGAGGGTCAAGGGGTGTAGGGGTTTTGGGCTGGGTTTGTGGGGGTTTGAGGGTTCAGGGTTCAGGGTTTGCTTTGGCCAGAGGTTTTTGGCTTAAGTTTTTGAGGGGGTTGAGGGAGTAGAAGTTGGACGTTTCCCCTTCACACAAGCTTCTTCATTTCCGAGCTGTGTCTCTTCTCTACGTTAGTACCAGCCTAAGCCTAAAATCCTAAAGCCTGAACCCATGCAAGAGAGACCGAACCCTCAACCCTAAACCCTAAATCCTAAGCCCTAAATCCTAAGCCATAAATCCTAAACCCTAAAGCCTGCATTGTCATCAGCCTCACTTTTGCCATACTGAAAGGTTGCCGATGACCTCCGAGGCGTGCTGATGCTTGGCCGAAGAGGGTCGAAGAGGGTAGGGTTTAAGGTTTAGCGTTTAGGGTTTAAGGTTTAGGTTTAGGGTGTTTAGGGTTGAGGGTTTAGGAACAGGGTAGTAAGGGGTTTGGGAGATGTACGGGTTCCAGGATTTAGGGTTTCGGGGTTAAGGTTTAAGGTTTAGCGTAGGGGTCTACGAGTTTAGGGTGTGAGGGTTTACTGGCTTAAGGGCTCGGTGCCAAAAATCGGCGGAGCAGACTTCAACGCCTTGACGGATGCCCTGACCTCCCTACGCCGTGGCAACCAGGGTTGGAAGGGCAATCTCCAAAGGCAGTACGGACGGCAGGTGTGAGCTGGGCTTCGAAGATTTTGCCCGCCCCTTCTCAACGTTCAGGGTTTAGGATTTAGGGTTTTGGGTTTAGGGCTTAGGGCGCTTTAGGGGTAAAGGGCTTCGAATAACAATGAGGAGGGCACGTATGAACCCTACCAGCCTCGGGGGTTGGGGTTCAGGGTTTAGAGTTTAGGGTTTCGGGTTTAGGGTTTAGGATTTAGGGTTTAGGGTTTAGGGCTTAGGGCTTAGGGTTTAGGGTTTAGGGTTTAGGGTTTAGGGAAGCGTACACCCTAAGGCAGAATTGCGAGCTCAAAGCCCACGACAACACACTCCCCAGACCCCTAAACCCTAAGCCCCTGAACCCTTGAACCCCTGACCCTACAACCCCCTAAACCCCCTAACCCCAAAACCCCTCAACCCCCAAAACCCCTGAACCCCTAAATCTTAAAGGCCCCCACAACAGGCCCGATCTCTCCCCGAGATTGCTGTCAGCATACACCGTAAACCCTAAGCCATAAACCCTAAACCCTAAACCCGAAACCCTAAACCCTAAACCTAAGCCCTAAGCCCTAAACACCCGAGGCTGCTGTCTCTGGCCTTTATGGAGTCCCTGACCATCTACGGCCTGGTGATTGCCCTGGCGCCAGCCTGAGCCTGCGGAGACTTTGGGGTACTTGGAGGGCGTTGGGGTTTAGGGTTTAGGGTTCAGGGGTTTAAGTTTAGGGGTTTAGGGGTTTAGGGGTTTAGGGGTTTAGGGGTTTAGGGGTTTAGGGGTTTAGGGGTTTAGGGGTTTACGGCGTTTAGGGGGTTTAGGGGGTTTAGGGGGTTTAGGGGGCTTAGGGGGCTTGGGGGGCTTAGGGGGCTTAGGGGGCTTAGGGGGCTTAGGGGCCTTAGGGCGCTTAGGGCGCTTAGGGCGCAAAGGGGGCTTAAGGGGGCGCTTAGGGGGCTCTTAGGGGGCTTAGGGGGGCTTAGGGGGGCTCAGGGGGGCTGAGGGGGCTTAGGGGGGCTTCGGGGGCTTAGCAGGTTAGGGTTTAGGGTTTGGCCAAGAAGTTTTCTGTACTTCCCAGAGGGGGGCCGGCCCTAAACCCTTTCAGCTTTGGATTCCGTGTTCCTGGGTCGGCAGCATCTTCCGGCTTTGACTTCCAGGGCCCACCTGAATTTTGGGCTTAGGGTTTAGGATTCAGGGCTTAGGATTTAGGGTGCCTTGTTTCAAGCCACAAGGAACGTACTGCATCCGAGGTGGGGGCTGCATGGGGAAACCGAATGGTTGTTAGAGGGGCTTCTCTGCAAGGAGCCCTCTTCTGATGTGGTTTTTAGGGTTTTAGGGTTTGAGGGGTTTTAGGTTTTAGGGTTTTTAGGGTTTTAGGGTTTAGGGTTTTTAGGGTTTTTAGGGTTTTAGGGTTCAGGGTTTAGGGTGGTGCCCTGCAAGCACCTCCTTCTTCTTCTGAAGGTGCTGCTCTTCGCGAACCCTCTGATCAAGTGAGCAAACGTCGCCGAGCTGGAGGAAGTTCTTCAATGCTATCAGGGTCGGCTGAGGTACGGCGAAGAATCTGCAAGCGCAGCTCTAGGTTTCAGGGGTGTGTAGGGTTGAGGGTCAATCTCGGGCCGAGAAGCCGTGTTGCATCCTCCAAAGCCTGCGCCGCTGCTAGCCCAGTCACTTGTCAAGAAGATGACGGAAGGAAGAGGCAAGCAGAGCTCGCGCTGGACGAAATGGCCGCCCTGCACCCCAAACCCCTAAACCCCGAGCCAGAAACCAGATCTTCGAGAAGCCCTGAATCAAGGAGTATACCGTAATTCACAAGAAGTATCCTTAGTATAGGCCAGGGTAATGTTCCTTAATTAAGGGGTTTTGGGGAAGATCTGGGAGGCGATGGCCGTGGGCTCTGTAGGCGCTCTGGCCAGAGGCGGGCTTGCCAAGGATGAGCCTTCAATCAAGAAGGCCCCAAGATCTTCCAAAACCCGTGAGTAGAGGAATATACACTATTTCATAATAATGATCCTTGGTAGAAGTTAGGGTATATTCCGCAACTAAGGGGTTTGGAAGATCTGGGGATAAGACGCTGGCTTGCAGCATGTTGAAGCCGAAGCTGTGCGCGGCCCAAGCCCTTCGAAAGTGGTCAGTATAATGTCTCCTGTGGGCCGGGCTGTGATCCCCGCCCTGACAGGTCTGCTTTTGGAGGCCAAGGGTTTAGGGTTTAGGGTTTAGGGTTTAGGGTTTAGGGTTTAGGGTTTAGGGTTTAGGGTTTAGGGTTTAGGGTGTTTAGGCAGTTCTGTGCACTGCAGAGTTGCCACGCAATGACGCGTGCCACTTCTAAAGTAATTGGCGAGCCCGGTCTGCAGTGTCTCATCCGGGTCATGGTGAACAAATATCGTGATGGAGTTTGTTTCTTTGCGTGAGTGGCCTAATGATCATTCTTAGTGGAAATGCCCTTACAAGGCGTGGGCGCACAAGCGCCCATGTGAGCATTTTGAGTCATTTCTCCTTCCGTTTTCTCGGGTCTTCTCGCTGCCTTCGCTGTGAGGATGCGTCGGCGTTCTACGGATTGGCTTGATGGCTTGCATCTTGACAAGTAGGCGCCCCGCAGCATTCCAGCATGGGCTCTGAAGTGCAGTCGATGGATGTCGAAGGTGCAGGCTTGTAGGCAAATGCGCACATACCCGAGGTGCAGTCTGCGACTTCGCCCTGGCACAGGAGCTTGCAGGGTTCACTCGCAGCTTCGCTTTCGTGTGATTGTTCTCTTGTTCTTGAGTCCGCTACAAGCTGCTGGTGCTGACAGGCGATGAAGTATCCGCGGAACCCCCCCCCGCCCGCGCTTTGACCGAGGCCTGGGGGAGCGAGCTCAATTTAGACTTCCATGATTGTGTGTTTTGCTGCGGTTTCAGCAGTAGATTCAACGGGTTTCAATGCTTTCTGTTGGCTTCCATGGTTCTGTGGTTCCCATGCTTTCTGTGGCTTAAGCTGCAATGCGTAGAGTTTCAGTTTTGAGTATATATGTATATATACACGGCTCTATATACGGATCTCGGACGGCCTAAGACCCTAGACCCTAACCCTTAAACTCCGAGCTCCAAGCCCGAAACCCCAAACCCTAAACCCTAAGCCCTAAACCCCCTGTAAATAAACCTAAACCCCAAGCCTTAAACCCCAAACCCCGAACCCCGAACCCCAAACCCGAAACCCTAAACCCTAAACCCTAAACCCCCTGTACAAAACCCCAAACCCTAAGCCCTGAAACCTGCTCTGCAGCGCGATGCACCGCTCCGTCGTCTCGAAGCTCTTCCCCCGGTCGGGGCTTCAGGTGGCAGGCGCAAGACCTTCTGTCTCACAAAGCTCCGCAGGATTTCTCGGGTTTAGGGTTTAGGGTTTAGGGTTTAGGGTTTAGGGTTGAGGGTTGAGGGTTGAGGGTTGAGGGTTGAGGGTTGAGGGTTGAGGGTGGGAGGGGCCGCTGGTTTTTCTGTCGACCTTTGCTCTGAGGCCTTCCCTTGGTGCATGCAAACGCAGGGGGCAGCTAAACTCTAGAACCCTAAGCCCTAGGCCCTAAACCCTAAACCCTAAACCCTAAACCCTAAACCCTAAACCCTAAACCCTAAACCCTAAACCCTAAACCCCAAACCCCAAACCCTAAACCCTAAAGCGGCTTCAACAAGCAGTGAGAGGATGCTAGAGATCTTGCGTTGCAAAACCTTGGATGCATTGGACTGGCGGTTTAGGGTTTAGGGTTTATGGTTTAGGGTTTAGGTTTCATCACTGGATCATGAGAGCTTCAGCACTCCGTGAATTTGCCTATGAGGGTCTGCAAGAAGCTTAGGGAGTGGATAGATAACGTTGAACCTTTTGGGTGACACATAAAAAGGTTAACCTTCTTTGGGCACCTAAAACCCTAAACCCTTACACCATTCGCAAAGATGACAAGATCCCCTACAAGTAGGGCTATTGGGGTTCCCGAGCTCGAATCGCGTGATGAGCAGGGCCCACTTTGCATCTTAGGTTTCAGTGTCCCTTAACATGGTCCCTTACACTCTTTAAAGGGCTCTGACGTACGGGCCCTTGGGTTGCATAGGGTAGATAGGGGGTATGTAAGGGGTCTCCTTTTCCGGGCCCACATGAAGGGACCGTGCAACTAGCTTAAGATGGCAGCTTGTGTTTGAACGAGCCGCTGGCTCGTGGCAGGCATTGAGAGGATCCAGAGCAGATGCGCTATGACCCAGGCCTGGCAGAATTTCGGCTGGCGTCTTTCTGTTGTGCACGGCTCAGTGTCGGATCTGG